TTGACTTGCCACATGAATGAAACACCGGAAACATAATTTATCAGTTCTGCCCACGAACGAAAAAAGAATTATTTTGGTCCGGTTCAACTTTGGTGTACACAAAAATATTATTTTTGGTGTTGCAATTTTCGGTTTACTTTTTAGGTTACCCTCAGAAGATGAGCTCTAAAGACGCGTACACCGCGCACGGCACCACAGTATCACAAAGTCCAATCTTCACCTCGATTACAAAGCGAACATTTTGACCGCAAATTACTCCTTCCCAAAGTTGCAAAACCTCACTTTGTCGTCACGAATAAGTTTTACAAACGACAATCTTGCCACGAGAAAGTTCAGAGTACTCACAACCCGCGTAGGAACAATCTAGGCAGCATTGACTTTAATGCCAGAGTCCCACTAGATGGACAAACACAAACAAAAGACACCGACAAGCCTCAAACCATATAGCTCAAACACGTGCAGCATGCACGCAATGGTTCCTTCTGTTGGCTTGCGATCTCGGTGCTCGTAAAGTGAGCAGGAGTGGTTGTAAGCCCGACAGAGATACCTTCGTGTGTATGATGCATGGGTTTGACGCTTGTCGGTGTCTGTTGTATCTGTTTGTCGCTCTAGTGGGACTCGGGCATAACGTGGCGTAGGGGATGTAGGGACACGTGGAAGGGACGTCATCAGTGCAACCGTCAATAGACTTGCCTCACGTTGTTGCTCGCGCGCACTCCGATGAAGCTCGCTACGACTTTGTGTTTCACAATCTCGCTGGAATTTGAGCACCGAGAGGGTTTGGATGATTGACATCTCGTGCCGCGTGATGTCATCGTAGCGAGAATCTAATCGGCACGCTCTGCGAACTTTGACTTTAACTTTGTGTTTGACGAGTTTAGAGACCCGGAAGGCGATTTTGGGAATGTACTGTAGACGGTTTTCTCGGTGGGCAGCGCATTCCTGAATACCGCAGCACCTCCTGGAGTAGGTCAGAGTCTGCGACCGCACTGGGTTGGGGCAGAAACTGACCTTTTCCTTTTGCCACTAGCCTGCGAAAGTGACGGTGATCGATGAAATATAGTTTCATGATCACCATCTGAGGTCTTTCTCCCGTTTGCCGCAACCCAGCAAGGAGGAAAGCACGTGGCAGCCTTTTCCTACTTCTTTCTTGTCATCTTTCAGTAATACGGCCTATAGAGAGTAAGACCCCAGGCTAGCAGTCGTACTGCACTGGCTAAATGTCTTATCTATAGTAGGTAACAATGTCGCCATACTCCGGCAGACCAAACTCCTACTGTGTAAACAACTAACGATTAATTTGTTTTGTTTAGCTTGGACAGTGAATGCCTTCGACCGTCGTACGTACTTTTTCAGATAAGCCTACCTTAATCAAACTATAGTTTAGATGAGGGGATAATTATCGTCATGGTAAGTTGACTAATGAACTAATATTCGTTAATTACCTTTTTTCTAATTATTGGTTGTAGGGGACATTTTGGACTCGCAGTATTGACGGTAATTACCATTAGAAGCCAGGCAGATTTGAATAATTGGTGATAAAAATGATGGATTTTAAAATATTAATCGATCAATTTGCAAATTAATTTTTTCCTGATTTAACGATAGACCTTTTTTCGAGTAACGAGCGCCGCGTGGCGGTTTGTCCACGAACTACAAATGCATGGCGGCAAAACAGGGCTCCACTTGACAAAGCACATTGACATCGTGCCGTGGTATCGGTTTTCATTGCTTTTTACGCCCCATGCTATGCGGAGGGCAAGTTCGTCTGCTTCTTGCGCAGGGGGCAGCGGTGACGTCAGAACGCCGAGCCCTGATTGGCTGATCGCGACCCCCTATCTGAGCATCGTCTGCTCCTTTGCAACGTCGTCTGCTCGAACGTCGTCTGCATCTGTCTTACTGTTCCTGCGACTTTCGGAAGTGCAGAGGCCAGATTCACGAAACGATCTTACGCCAAAATGTGCGTAAGACATAAGTTAAGAACAAATTCGTATTCACGAAACGAAATTTTCGTAAGTCTTGCGCAGGTTACAACGAAATCCTACGACAGCTCCGAAGCTGTCTTACGCACTTCTCACAATCAAATCAGCATGGCCGACAGCGTCGCGGTCACGACGACCCACGGACGTTTATTTTTCTACGTGCGCTTCTTACGCGTCCCGACTTCAAGCAGCAAGAAAAGAGTAATAAGTACTTGAAACAGACCACGACGAACAAGAACGCTGGATCCACAAACACCCGGGAAAAGCTCCAACGGCCACGATTCCACCGAACGCGACCAAGCCAGCTCGGATTAGGCCTAACAGGCACTCCACGACTCGGCGACCGTCTGCCCACGACCGGCTGGCGTGCTGAATGGAATATGCCCGCGCGATCCTTGTGAACCATTCCCGTATTTTATACTTTGATCGCTGACGTCAATTTTAGATTAAGAGGTCAATTTCTTCCTCTTGTTATCTCCTTGTTTCCCGAGGCAACGGTGACTCTCGCCGGTGGAAAAGCGGTGAATCTCCGACAGACGCAGGAAAGGTGAAGCAGCCATCGCTTTGACTAGCAGACGTAAAGCAGACGACGTTAACTGCGCCAACCCGCCGACGCCGTTAAAGAGTGAGGAGTCTCGCCACACACGAAAGGAGGGAAAAAGTATTTGGGAGGGAACTTGCGGACACTAACCCGCTCCACTCTCGGTTCTTAGCAAACAAAAGTCGGCGCCTCGGGACACCTCGGCAGTGAGTCCTTTGACTTCCCTTTTTGATGCGCGTCTGCTAGTTAGACAAAAACAATGTACCGCTCGAGTTATTTCGTCTGCCCTCTCTGAAAGGCGAAGTCGAGCTCGCTTGTAAAGACCTGCACTTCCGAAAGTCGCAGGAAAGGTAAGACAGACGCAGACGACGTTGCGAGCAGACGACGTGGCGAGCAGACGACGTTGCAAAGGAGCAGACGACGCTGAGATAGGGGGTCGCGATCAGCCAATCAGGGCTCGGCGTTCTGACGTCACCGCTACTTCCTTTCTCATGCGCCGAAGACGAAAATGAGCCCACTTGCGAGGCGCATTGATACCCAGAAAAAGAATCGTGTAAAGGGAAAAGGTGCATCCTGGTGGTTGCACCTTTTCCGTGCCCCCTGTGTGAAAAATGCGGAAAAATAGGCGCTGATAATGGTTGTCGTGCGGGATGGTGCCGTGCGAAAATAGAGACACCGGGAAGCAAGGCCAGGGTAGAGGATGTGCGCATGCGCAGAAGCTTACTGAAAACAGTCCACTGCACGCAGAAAGAGCGCATCAATCCCTGCCCAGAATGACGCTTGGAAAAGTAAAGTAGTAAATTATAGGTCACCTCGTCACTATAGTGTCGTCGGCTCACCCACCAAGGACACCTGTCGAGATAGTGACGACATGATTGAAACGACGTCGTCACTCTTCCAAGTGCCCTGGTGGGCAAGGCAATTGTAAATTTTTTTTTAGCAGATTTTTTTTTTAAAAATTCGGCGTGCGAAAATTGGTGGAAGAATATCTAAGAAATGAACAAAAAACATGACCTTTTCGTAATTTTTTATTTTATTTTTGGTTTGCCCCTTAAACAGTAATTGTTGTCAACACTACAATCGCAACACAATCCCTAAAACCAATAATTAAAAAAAAAGTTAATCAATAGATTTTAGTTAATTAGTCACCTTACCGCGACGATTATTCCTTAACACACACTTGCGTTGAGTCCGATCAAGTTCTAGGGTTGCCATGGCAACAACTGTGTCGGCTCCAACGAAACCGGTTTTTATCCTGTTTTGCTGGAGCCGACGCAGCAGTTGTCATAGCCATAGCCATAGCCATAGCCATAGACCCCAGGCTAGCGGTTGTACTGCACTGGCTAAATTGCTCATCTACAGCGTGTGACTCGTCGCAACTTTAATGGCTGACCAACTACACGCTGTATAAATATACCCATAACCCCAATTTTTCGATCGGACTTAACGCTAGCAATGAATCGCCCTTTAAACTAATGTCCGCCGAGGCTGATATATACACGGTGAAGACAGAACTCGTCAAACACAATCCCCCTATTAAAAAAAAAATAATAATAATACAGGAAAACATTTAAAGAGGTGGTGCAACGATTTTCAGACCTTGGCCAATTAACGGCGGAAATTATTCTGTGTCACACGTGGAACGGAGAACAGGAAACCGTGTTTTCTTGCGAGCGCTAGTTTTAATGTAGAAAAATGAAACAAATCGGAAGGTCAAAGTTCCCCTCAACTCTCCACGTCGCCTCTCGAGTTACGTACTCTGGGGGATGACGTGGTTTCCCCTTGGGTTCTCTCTTCAGAGACCCCAGCCGCTTCCTCTGCGATTATCGACTTTTAAAGGATTAACATCGTCGAAGGTCGCGGGGAGCGATCGACACAGATGACGGTTCGCCGCGGGGAGGGGGACAGGTTTTGTTCACTTCCGCGTATCCCCTAGACTACGTCACACATCAGTTCCGTTAACCAACACAAGCTGCTGAAGATTGACAAATATTTTATTTTCTTCTTTGCGATTACACACCGGAATAACAGATTTTCGGGGCAAGGTGACGCGCTTTTGGTCATTTGTGTTTGGATCAACAATGAAAAATGAAAAAAAAAAAATACAAATTGCCAATTTTTTCAACGCTAAAATCGTTGCACTACCCCTTTAATACTGTTTACGTTTAGGAATGTGAAATCATCCTACACTCAGCGCATTTCTACAAGCACTGCACCACGCTGCACCAGAGCGTAGAACGCGTAAGGGGCGGGAATCCCCAGCTCCCCCTGCACCCCCCCCCCCCCACTCCCCTCCCTCCGGGCTTCCGGCAACGCCTGACACGTGACCCAAGAGGGGGAGAGGGTCGATGGGCGTCGCATTAGTTGCCCGTTTTTCGCAGTCACGGACAACGCCGGCGCCGCTCCAGAGAACAGTTAATGTTTTCGCATTAGAAAAATATGTTCGGAGTAAAGTTAGACACTTCGTGTCTACTTACCAGGAATTCTCGGCTTCAGAGAAAATGGTCGAGTTGAGATAAAACGCTCCGTCGTCTGCCCAGTAGATGGTCTCGTTGGTGAACTCGTATGAAAGGTCGACCATCTCGCGACCTCCCCACGACAGAGAGTTCGGCGTGCATCCTGTGGGGCTTTCCTGGGATTCTGACAGCCACGGTAACGCCAAACTCGCTAGCAGGCAGAAATGAACGCCGTCAAACCCCATCTGAAATAGAAAAGTAAAAGAAAAAAAGAATTGTGTCTTAATTCTACGGGTAAAGTTGAGAACCTGTGGAATGTGCAGGAAATTTTAGCTGCACTGAGTGTTTATTTTATGAACGTTTTGAAGTCCGATATTCATTGTATATTACGCTAAACGTAGCGCTACGTAAACGCTGCATGTGGTGTATTATGCTTCTACGTTACTAATTGTGATTTGACATTCATTTCATGAAACCCTAACACTATAAAGACTTTAAAAAAAAATCAGATGGTTCCTTTTGTTCCTGTAATCTATAGGTGATCATTAAAATAAGACGACCAACCAATCCCTAAATTAGGGGCACAAAGTTTAGAAGACTGCTCGGCTTCTTCTTCAGGGGCAACTATGGAGGAAAGGAGCCGCAATCTTCTTTTTCCTCTTTGGCGGTGGCAAATGCGCACGATCTCTTCTGTTTCCTCTATGACCGTGTTTTTGATGACACGTGATGAAGAAGCCCGTTCACATGCACAGATGGCGATGTGCCAAGAGACATAATAATGTTTGTTAGCGTGGTCTGAACGTGCCAAGATTCAAAGAGAGAGACAAGTGTTGGAAAGCAAGGAAGCCTGGAACTTATTAACCAGGCTTCCTTTCTTTCCAACACTTCTCTCTCTCTTTGAATCTTGGTTCAAAGATTCAAAGAAGAGACTCCGGCGGGGGTTATTTTCGATGTCCTGGATGCGCATGTTAAGAAAGTCAACCCGGTGGTCATTTTTTTTACAATGCTCAGCAACCGCGCTGCGCGCTTGATCGAAATCGCACATATCAACCTTGTGTTGACGAATCCGCTCATGATCGTTCTTTGTTTCGCCGATGCACCAGGACGGGCACTCCGCGCAGGGAATCTCGTACACCACACCTTGCGCTTTCTCTTTAGGGGGCCAATCTTTTGGTCGTAGCATAAAGCGTCCAATGGTTGAAATCGGCCTGCGGGCCATTTGAATACCCCCCTTCACTACCACACGTGCCAGAGCTTCACTTGTTCCCTTGATGTAGGGGAAGCTGATGCGCGTGATTGGCCGGCGTTTCATACCAACCTGCGGCTGGCGGTGTTGTCGACTTCGGTTTTGACGACGGGCAATGCGGTGTGTAATGCTGCCCGTACATCCGTCTTTCTTGAGGTCGCAAATGATGGCTTCTACTTCTCGTCGATCAGAATCAATTGAGAAAATGTTCTTTGCCCTTGATAGGAGTGTGTTAACCACCGATGCTTTATGACTCGTTAAGTGGTTGGAGTTAGAGCCACTAAATGAGCTGCGCTTAAAGTATCGCCACTCCGTTCCCCGACAGTGTTGTGACAGCCGCCATTTTGGTGCTTGTGCAGGTCAGACGAAACTGCAGATCCTCATGATTCAAATGTGCGACTTCGTCAGCATTAGATTCGGTGTTAGAAAGCTCATGCAATATTGCTTTGCTTTGTCGCGAACTGTTTAAACATTTGTGGAGGGCGGAAATGAGTTTCCTGTGATTTCAGATAAAGCTCCAGATAACTGGCAACCATGACTTTAAGCCACAGTGTGACAATATGTCTAAATGTCGTTACCCTGAAGCGTAGCTTTTAGTGGCACTAGTTGGAGTCAGGTTGTAGGTATCTTCCGGTGTGTGTTGGCGTCCGGTAAACTGAGAATTGCAGATGATCCTCCTGCCTTTTTACAAGTACATGGAGAAACGGTAAGGTGTCGGTTTTTGCCCGTTCCACAGTGAATTGGATGTCAGGCTCGATAAAATTGAGGTGTCTTATTACTGGTTGGCCGTCTTATTTTAATTTTTATTTCCCCCAACCAGACAGACTTCTGTCTATATTTAGTAGTAGTGTTTTTTAGAGATCCGAGGGTGGGAACAAACGGGGAGGGGCATGTTTAATTACTTCTAAAACTACTTATATAAGTTATACTCTAATTAAGGGTGCGGGACCAACTCACTTATGTATTTTATGTAAAGAATCTTCTTTGTGAGCCTCTCGTACCTTGGCTGCCTCTCCGCGGCCGGTAATTATATATTAATATTAAGATATAGTAAAAAAGATGAACATTATTTAAAACGTGTTAACTTAAAATATTGTAGTGTTTGTTTTGTCGTGAAGGCCAAACCAGTATCAGACAAATTTTGAATGCCTGCATCTTTTTATGTCGAAAGTTTTTCTATTAAAAGAAGTCCCTCCTCCCCACTCAACCGTTCCGACGAGTTTTTCAGCATATTTGGTGGAGCACCCATTTCTTGTTCGTTGAAGTCCGAAGTATGAATTCATAATGTATCGGAACTAATCGAGCTATAACTTTGACCGGCGGATGCTGCTCATGTTCGATGTGTTTACGCGAAGCGAGCGCAGCCGATCGCTCTAAAAGCCGGTTCCCAGATGCAGCGAAGCGCTGATATAGGAAGTATGGTGCCCGGATCGCGTCTTCGACTGGTGTGTTTAGCGTCCTATCCCGCCCATACATCAAAAGTGGTCCCAATGTGGCAACAAATGACGCGAGTGTCATGCTGTTGCCTGTCGCGATCCTGGCGGTTGGCCGTAGAAATGCTGGCGAGAAGCACGAGCGAACGCGAGTGTCGCTTTCGTCACGGCGTCCCTTTAGGCGTCCCAACTTCCGGCTGCTCCAGCTTCCGTGAACTGTCACAGTGGAAAGCGACCTGCAGCAGAACAGGCGTCTGCCACTTATACCACAACTGTTGGGGCGCCGCCAGGATCGCAACAGGCGACAACATGACACTTTTATGACGTCATCAGGCGGAAATCGAGGGACCAATTTTTTTGAACCCGGTAAACACACCAGTCGGAGACGCGTTCCAGGCACCATATAGGAAGTATTCACTGGACGCCATATTTGAGGGCGATGTTCAGAGCGCATGCTCAGAACGGGCTCGCATTAATAGCCTGCTACGACCGGCAGCCTTAATGGTGCCAAATGCACGCTCCAGAAGGGCTGCGGAAGCTCGCCGTCAGCACGCGCTCACCAGCAGCGCACACGAATATGGCCGCCAGTGAATACTCCCTATAGGCTACTTATCGTCTGACATAAGATACAATTTTGATGGTGCGATACAAAGCTGGTGAATGCTCCAGTCAGCACGCGCTTAGCGCGAGGTTAGCGCTATGCTTGTAGCACTCCGCTGAATGCGTGAACAGGCTACTAACCTTTCATACAGAAAACAAACTGTGGACACTGTTTCCGACGTGGTTTTCTTTTTTTTTTTTTTCTTTTTTGTACGACAGATTGTTGTACAAGAAAAAACACATTGGTAATTCAAAAAAAAAAGAAAAACTCGTCAAAAAAATTGCTTTTGTGTAGGAATGAGATAGCATTCCTTTACGTGCAGCGCATTATTACATGCAGCGTGCCACGTCTTCCTTTAGCACGCGGCGCTCCGCGCATCACGCTCCCCCACTGCGCAGGCGCGGCTTCGGTGACGAAGCATCTACGTTGCTGTGCTTTTCTTTGTGTTTTATTTCTGAGGCGCGTTCTTGATGACATACTTTTATGACCATCTTTCGGGGACAACGCCGACGGCTTTTCGCGTAATGGGACAAGTAAGCTTTCGGCTTTAAAAGACTGTCTGCAAACCTGTTTTGAAGCGAAGATGACCGTTTTTGCACATCGGATACACTACAATGGGCCCTCCCGTATGAACTGCGCATGTGCGACTTTTCTGCGGTAGCACTTGCGAAGTTTGTACCGGAGGGCCCATCGTGCCGTATCGGATGTGCAAAAACGGTTCCATAAAACTTTCTAATATGAGCCTTACCTTCTTGCGGGTGGCGGCGCGAAGTCAATTGAATATTCGAGACGTTGGCGTCAGTGGCTCAGTTTTGACCAGAGTGTCGAATTGAAACCTTTAGCGGTTCGGTTCGGGTGCGGGTTTATGGCTTTCGGTTCAGTTCCGTTTCAGTTCCGGGAACCAAAATAACGGTTAAAACCGGTTCGAACCGGTACGAATCGGTTTGACCCACTAAATTGAGGATGAATTTTCCGCGTTGCTCTGGCAAGACCCTTTTGCTTTTTAAAAACATAAACTTCCGCTTGCGTCCCAAGCGACTTACGGTCGCACCATCTCTGCAAGTCTGTTGAGCTTGCTTATGTCACCAGTGCTACCTAGCATAAATGCTACATGGAGAACAAAGTTGGAGATTTAACGAGGGCCTTCGGCTGTACAATTTAACGTCTTGAAGGAGACAAGTTGGTTTACAAGAATATTCGAGAAATTTTAACAGATCTCGCGCTTCTTCGTTTTTTTGCCGTTCACCTGGAAAATTGCTGGTTAAATGTTTTATCGACATTTCAAGCAGGGGTCTTAAGGTGGGCTTTGTTCATGCTTTTTATGAACTGAAAGTTCTCTTCGATTGCAAAGACTGGAGCACCACCTGGTGGTGTTCGCCATGGAAAAGGTCAATAGGCACTATTTCCGACGTGAAACAATTAACTTGATACGGACCGCAAGTTCACCTCCTTCTTTTGAAGGTTTTATGGTGACGCCAGAACGCCGAGCTCGGATTGGCTTTGATTGAAAGATGGTAGGTAGACCTCAAGGCAGCTTCATTGCTTTGAAGTCTACCCACTATCCTTCAGTCAGAGCTCGGCGTTCTAACGCCGACAAGTCCTGCGCGCTGACATTTACTGGGCTCTGTCGTCCCTGCAAAACACCCGCACTCTGTCTTGGAATATTGGGAAATCCGGCGTGACCTCAACAACTGTTCTTGGTAATCTACACGACGCTTTTTTCAAAAGGACTCCGAATTGCACTCAAAAGTGTGCAAGCATCGAATTGGTCGAAATTACAGATCACTATAACTGAAGAAATACCTCTCCCATGATTCCTCGAGTGTGGGCCGAGGGGATTGGAAGACCTAGCAAATGGTGTATTGGTCACTTTCTGACGGTTTGCGTGCGTAATCATCATAGTTCCGCCACGCGCCCCTGTGTACTTTGTTTTTGTCCAGTCAACAGACACAAAACATTTATGTT